CCGACCCTCACAATCAGTCCTGATAACAATTATTCACTGTTGTATCACCAGAGACCCGTCTGCATTTCATTGCATCAGCCCTGCCTAGACAGATTGAATACTACTCACTGGAGATTCTACCTTCCTCCAGGCCCTCTGGATCTAGGTCCCCTCTTGAAAGCTTGTAAGCCAGTCACTTCTTGGAGTTTGGCCTTTTTTAAGGATTTGAGTTGTCTACATTTTTCTCCCATTCTGTCTCGGACCGTGTATTGTGACCCTGGTCATAACTTTCAGTAATTGTAGCCAACCACCATCCAGGGACCGTCTAGTTCTTCTGGTATCAGGGTAATTGAGGTCACGACTTGTGTTGGCTGTTAGCCTTGTAGACTTGCTTCTTCTCTGGAGACCAGTAGTTGAATCTTAGATGGTCGTTTGCAAACTTTTAGACCCCAGACACCACTCACTTCCCTGGGATGTAGAATATGGACTTGGTCAGCTCTACGATGCCAAGTGACCTAGAAAATCAGTCTTACAAAATGCTTGGTTATGTATGACAATTATCTGCAGTTAAGCTTTGGAATCTATGTGCCTGCACACACATGTCTATATTTACACATACACGCTGCTGCTGCGGTGTGCCATCGAGTTGGTTCCAACTCCTAGTGACCCTGTATAGGGTTTCCGAGGCTAGAAATCTTCATGGGAACAAAAAGTCTCATTTTTCTCCCGCAGAGCGGCTGGTAGATTTGAACTGATGACCTTGTGGTTAGCAGCCTAACGTGTAACCCACTATGCCACCAGTACTTCTTACACATATATTATACAGAAACAGTTCTATTTGTGCACACGTGTATACACTTATACCTACCTGTATGCCTGTATACCTATACACATGCTTATCTGGCTAGCCACTCATTTTTTGGTTGTTGTTGTTGGTGTTGCCAGATTATGTGTGTCAAATTCCTTATTACAAGCATCCTTTTCCCTTGAGTGTGACTGACATTGGTTACCTTGGTCATGCTGTGTTCACTGTATCCAGATGCTGGTTTTCCTGCCACCAAAAGCTGTAAGTATCTCCAGTCCACAGTGTGGTCCCCTCTCCTCTTAATCCCTCCCGATGAACCACCAGTGAACATTGGTCTCTATAAATGTATTCTTATCAACGTGGGAACATGCAGCATTTGTCACAGCCTCCCTTTGAATGAAGGGCTACCCCTATGGCTCAGGGGGAGACTGAGGCTTGCAGAGGTGCGGTGATGTCTGAGGGCTTCCCTGTGATAAAAGGAGACAGTCAGGACTGCCTCCTGTCTTGGACCAAAGAAGAGAGAGGCTCCTTAATAGTCAGAACAGGCTTATCAAATATGTCCTATGTGCTGGGTTTCCTACATACAGTCACATTGAATTCCTCACAGCAGCCCTTTAAGATGTAAATAATAGGCTCCCTGACTTACATTTGAAGCCAGGTGGATTCCGAGAAGTGGGGTCAGTTGTCCATGTACATGGAACGGGGGTGTGTGTGGGGAGTGGTAGAGCCAGGATTTGAGCCAACACATTTGTTGGCTCTGACTCATGGCAACCTCATATATGGCAGGGGAAAAAAGCATCTTCATGATTCTTGGTCTGTGTAAGAAGGGGAATCAGACTCATCAGCATCAGCCCAAGACTGATGTCTGTGAGGCCTCAGCCCTCAGACATGCCTCCATCCTCCACCCTTCTCTACAAATTCTGACACCAACCAGCCCTCACACAACACTCAGCTGGGCTCGATAATTCAGTGCAATGGCCACACTGAATGCAAACACTATACTCCTGAGTAGGACGTTTATTAAGGAGGTTTAACAGGTTACATACAACTCAGGGTCAGAAATGTTCAGGATAGAGTTCTCTAGTCAGCACTGACGGCCTCTTCTCTGCCGTGTCCTCAGATGGGCCACTCTCTGTTCCTCAGCCCCTTGGCCTTGTTTCTGCCTTGTTACAACTGGCAGTTCTAAATGTTACAAAAGCTCTTTAAGGGCTGCCAATAAATGCCCAAAGGGCAACCATTCTGCTGTGAGTCTCCACCTGAAGGTCCTTAGCTCTAGCTCTGTGGGTCAGTAAACTTAGCTCTCCAATTCAATGCCTGGAGCGACCCTGCTGTATAAGGGAGTCTCCCAAGGCCCTCAGCTTTCCTTACTTCGTAGGCCAGGAAGTCCTCAGCTCTGTCTCCTGCTCTGGCTCTTGGTTCTGCTGCGGCCACTTCTCCGATGTCACAGCTGTCTGTCCCTGGATTGAGGTGGTTCAGTGCTCAGGGAATCTCAGGATCCAAAGGACATTCTCCACTTGTTGCTTGTTGGTAGTGGTACTCCAACCTTCCAGCTTCTAAAGTGACTCATTTTAAACCAAAAATTAGCCCTGTTAACAGTCACTCACAGCTGAATCATATAATCCTGTCAGCCTCTAACCCAGAGCCTTCAAGAAAAGAGGAAATACACCCAATCTTGCATGGCCCCAGGCAGTTGTTCCGCAGGTATTGCAAAGATCCGGGCTAGAAGAGCCCTATTAAATAATGAACTGCCCCTCTGTATGTTTGCCAGCATAGCTGAAGCTAACTTATCAGGGAACAGAATATCTTTCCCTTGATCCAGGCCTGGAGCCTTGCTCCAGGCCACTGGAAGTTAGAAGGAAAGCCCAGCATTTTTCAGGCGAGTCTGTGCAGGTCTAATGAGGGCCTGTTGTGGGCCCTACCCTGGGAGAGCTCATGGGCTGATTGGAGATAGGGAGAGTTTTAGGAAAAACCAGAAACCTGGCCCTGAGGGCAAAAGAAGTAGTGATCAGTGTAGTTAGAGGAGAAAGCCCATGTGGCTGGTCAGGAAAGGTTGCTTTGGCATGGTGAAAAAGGACCAGGCCTGGAGTGTGTTGCTTAGCAGAGAGGCAGCGTCACATGATGGGTCAGACTGTAGACATTAGGGGTAAATGTCTTGGGTTCAGATCTGCGTCTTCACTGACTTTGCGACCTTGGGCTAGTTTCACCTCTCTGGTGGTAGTGGTGTGC